CACACACACACACACACACACACACACACACACACACACACACACACACACAACTGTCCCTTGATCCCTTAATCGGAGTGGCATGGGCTCATCCCCCCATCAAGTGACCGTGGGGGACTGCCATCGCTATCCGGGTCATCGTCACTAATGACACGCTTCTTGCGAGCATTAGTGTTGCGGCGTCCGTGCTGCAACGCAGTCTTGTCGACTGCCTTTTTTTTTTCTGGGCCTTCCACGGCCGCGTCGGGGCGCTTCGGGGAACTCCGTTGTTGCCTTCCTCTTCCTGCCTGCCCTGCTCTTCCAGAGGTTGTCATGGTGGAGAGCATCGTTCAATTCAGGGAAAGGGGGCGTGCCGATGTCCTCTGCGACCTGCTGCTCTTCCTGCTTCTCCTTCCCTCTCTGGCTAATTGCAACTTGCTGGTCGTTGGTCTCTCCCTCCACTCCGACTTGTTGCTCCACGCATGGGCGGAACCTGCGCATGTACACGACAACTGGTGCTTGCTGTTCTTCCGCTGCGTATGCAGGCTCCCCTTGCCGCTGCTCGCCCTTCTCCACGGTAGGCTGGACATCCCCGTCCATTTCCTTCAAGGCCTCGCCCCCACGCTTTTCCTGTTGTGCAGCATTCCTCTCCCTCTCCCTGCGTGTAGGGATCGCTGCACGACGGGCCTCCTCCACAGTGACCCTCCTCAAGTTCACGATCCCTGTCCGCCATCTCCTTCGCACGGGTGGCCTCTTCCTCGTCCGGGTCATCGTGGCGATGCAGCAAAAACTCTACGTCCGTGTCCACTCTCTTGACGACCGGTGTAGGGTCAAGCTCGAGCTCCCTCTCCTGTGGCCTGGTTCGCCTGCCGACATACGTGGTCGCCGGGACTGCAGGCACCACACCGAGCTCGAAATCTGAGTCCTCATCCTCGCTGCAGTCCTTCGATGATGACTCATTCCAGCACTTCCACTTCCACACCATATCCTCGAGGTCGTTGCTGTCACTAGTGTCGGAATCGAGAAGGTTTTGGGGGATCCTGTTTTTTGGAGCCTTTGCCATGTTCCTTTGCCTCATCTCCTCATCCCGAGTATCGGTCGCCAGCGTCGACTGGCTCCATGATAGGCTTGAAGAACGAACCCCAGACATCAACGAACCCGCTGTCCTTGTGGTGTCGAGCTCGCAGCAACTGCATGTTCCAGTGTATGTACACGAGCTTCTCGAGGGATGCTGGGGACAAACTGTTTCGTCTCTTCGTRTGGACAAAGTCCATGRAGGCCCAGTTGSGCTCAGCRGGGGTCGCAGTGCTCCACATCCCCATGACCTTGATTGCAATTGCCTGAAGTGTTGGGACATCCCCGCCATGTGCTGCCCACCAGGTCGCAGRGTTAAGCCTCCTCACATCGTCCACCGCCGGTTGTTTCCACATGTGCTCATCCTTGCGCTTCTTCATAGCTTTCCCGGGCTCCGTGCACACTTGCTCCGTCGCAACCCTCCCGGGCTCTTTTTGGAACTCCATCAACTCCGCCCACAAGTCAGAATGTGCCTTGCTGTTCCACTCACCCCCGATCTACCTCAAGAAGTAGCGCATTGCATTTTGCATTACTGCACTGTTCTGATCGAAGAGCCAGCGTTCATTCCGCCGTCGTGGATCAAGAACGAATGCAGCTACATGAGCCGGCTGCCTCATCATTTGCACGCGATCACACACCTTTTCCATGACATCCTCCCGCTCCTTCGTCAACACCACGTTTGTCAATTTCCGCCGAATCATATCATCGTACTCAACAAGATTGGTGGGAGGCGTGCCTTCTGCGTCCATTCTCTTCAGCAACTGGAAGATCGGGTGCATGATGTCCACAATCTTCCTCACCTGCGGCCACCATACCTCCGAACTCACTTTGTAGTACACGAGGTCGGCTCTCCTGCGCAACTTCTCCCCTGACCATCTCAATGCTCTCCACTTTTACGCCGCCCTCCCATCCACCATCGTGACAGGAACATCCTCTTTGTCTGCTGGTCGTTGAAGCATCTGATACACAAATCCGAACCGCACTTCCGTCGGACGAAGTCATCGACGGTCATCATCAAGTCGTGTGTGGCATGATGATTCCGGATGAACTTGACGATTGTGTTCGCGGCTTTTACTGTGACCTTGATCCATGATAGGTTGGTCAAATCCTTGAGAAGGAGACTACAACAGTGTGCCCCGCAAGGAACCCACAAAATTCTCGCCACGTCCTTGTCCTTGCGTCGTTCTAGGATTTGCGCCGCCTTCTTGTTAACTTCGGCGTTGTCGGTGCAGATCGCGTTGATGCCTTGCAGTCCAATCTCCCTCATTACCTGGTCCCACAACTTCGCCAACGCCACTGCATTCTTCTTCCTGCCACTCATTGTCACCGTCGTTACGAGCACCGCCCCTTGTTCCCCCGCCGCCAAGAAGTTCATCACTGGCCGATTCTTGCGGCCAGTTGACCCGTCAATGATGAACGTGCATCCAGTCGAGTCCCAACACCTCGTCATCGGGTTCACCTCCTTTTGGATCTTCAAGTAGATGATGTCCGGCATGACCGTCCTCATGTAGTTGTATGATGGTAGCTTCACCTTCGGCCTCGCGTTGGCTACCTCCAGGTAAACGGCATGCAACGTCTGAGTCGTGTCCATGTTCAAGAAATTGAAAGCAATGCCAGCCCTGAACATGGCCTCCGCCCACGCAATGTCCAGCTTCTTCTTTGCCGCATTGTCCACACAACGTCGTACAATGGTCTGTCTCAAGGTAGTCGTTCGTGTTGTTGACCCTTGCCCTTCTTCACCGCCTCCGCCCTCCGCTGCACCTCCAGCGTCGACAGCCTCATCAAGTGCATCGACGAGCATGTTTGCAATGCCTGCAATTGCCCGCCCTGCAACAGGCGGTGGTTGGGGCTCGTCTGTTTGCGGATCTTCCAAGCCTTCCTCTCCATGTGATGCATCACCACGATGCACATCCGATTCGGCCTCGCCTCCCTTGTAATTCGTCAACAAGTACCTTGTGTTCTTGTCGCTAGGCTGCACTTTTGCACCACCAGTAACCAAAGTGTGGACTATCTCGCCTGTCCGCAGTGCACACGGCCTCATCGGCTTCAAGAAATGCTCGGCAACCTTGCTTGCCGACCCCCTCCAGATTGTCGAGCACAACCTGCACCTGACCCAGTACTCCCCCCTCTATTTCGAAGTAGCTACCTCCTGTCCCTGCTCACACCAGATCCAAACCTTGTTTTTCTTTCGCAGCACAACATGATCCGCCTCACTCTTCCCCTGTAACAAGCTTGCGTCGGTTCCAAGGGTGGGCTCCTTCTCCCCGCCAACTGAAGTAGCCAATGCAGATGTCGTCCTTCGCGTACTCGATTCAGGCTTGTCAACAACAGGCACTGCAGGTCCTTTAGCCTTTGTCGCTGTTGTTGCTCTTCCCCGACTGCCTCGTTCTTCACCGCCCCCCCTCATGGCCACCGGTGAGATATGACAAGAAATTGAAGAAGAAGAAGAAGAAGAAGAAAAGGAGGAGGAGGAAAAAGCCGGCTTGGCTCAAGTTGGCTGTAGCTATGGCTACGGTTGTAGGAGGAGAACGGGACCGCTGGACAAAGACCGCCAAGGATAAGTTGGAAAAAAAAAAAAAAAAGTGTCGCCTCTACCTATGGCTACCGATGTGGGGTGAGAAGAAGAAGAAGAAGAAGAAGAAGAAGAAGAA